TGCAGCAAGTCGAACCAACAAATATTTACTAGTGGCTGAGCTTGGCCTTGTAGGAAATACAGAAAATGATGCGATTCACTTTCTGCATTAAAGGAGCCAGTTGCCCAGCTGAACCCCAATACCCATATATTCCAGAGGAGGGGAAAACTGCCTGTGCTCTCTGGATGCCCCCAATACACCTGGAGCTTTACTTCAAATACAAGAAACAGCTGGTGTTCATGATTTAAGACTCAGTACAAATGGTGGGGAGAATTTCTTTTTACAAGCTGTCTGCTTTGGCGAAATTCCAGAATCCATCAAACAGAAAGATAAGGGCGATGAGAAAAATGATTCTTCATAGTTGGTCTTCATATAGTGAAGGAGTGCGAGCTACACAGGACATTCCAGAGCTGGAAAGTGCCCTCAAGTTCACCCACATAGACACAGCAGGGCCTTCCCGGCACCTGTAAAAATCAAAGATGACCCCACGGACCTGACACAATTGTGTTTGGACTCTGGACCTGGGAAGGTTTGGGGCAATGAGTCTTTGTATTACTCCGGTAAAGGGCATCCATTGCTGTTTAACATGGGAAAGCTCCCAGAGAAAGAACCCCAATATTTCCAAACCCGAAGAATAAAAATGACTTAACATCCCACTGGTGATTTTCTAGGAACTGTTGAGATCTTTGTCATTAAGTCTCACGAAAAGTTTTTATTCTTATTTTTAATTTTTAAAATCATAATTTTTATTGCTTGAACTCAAAAGCAAATATAAAGAACATAAAATTTGAAAGCATTACCCAGTTACAATATTGGAGCTGTTCTAGGAAGCTACCTTCTTTCACAAAAAATTTTTAAAAAATAAGTCTTTCCGTTATGGGAAATGCCACTGACCTCATCCATAAACGAATGTCCACTATTCGGTGAGAATAATAATTGCAGCTAACATGTGCTGAGTGCTTCTACTGCCAGGCACGGTGCTGAGCATAGTAGCTTACTAAATTCTCTCGGTAAGCCATTGCAGATATCATCATTCTCATTTTAAAGATGAGGAACTGGGGCTCCCAGAGGTTACTTCATAGTCCAAGGTCACATGGTTAAGTAGAGGAGTTGGGCTACTCCGCTCTTCTCACCATCTGTAACCCCAAAACAGAAGTGGGTGCGATCTGCCGTTCAGTAGGCTGGCAGTTCAATGAATGGCTCCCGTTTTAAGTGGGCGGCACATGGATGACACCTAGCAGGGACCACATCCTTCACCCTCGGCTACTTCACAAAGGTCTTCTTTTGGTCCCATCAGGACTGGGTGTAAGGCCTGGAGATAGCTCAGCAAACCCCCTCCCCAGAACTGCAAAAAAGAGAGAGAGAGAGAGAGAATTCAAAATACTTTTTTCTATACTCAGTGCTCACTGGTGTCCTTAATAGGGGAAAATCCCAGAGACTGATTTCATACAAAAGCCTTTTGAACTTCAGTGCATTTCAGAAAAAGTCATGTCCATGAATGTTGATGGCTCAGGTTTTCTCTTTTTCAGTGGGGCCTTCACTTAGAAAATAGAACATATTATTTGTCTTGGGCAAGAAACGTATTGCTCTTGAAATTTTCCACCTGTAAAGTGTGGATAATAACATCGAGCCCACCTTCTCCACGTGGTTTGGGGAAGTATAAAAAATACAAAGAAAATTAAGAACAATTTTATAATACAAGCCCAAATGCCATCTTTTCTAACTTCCCCAACCTAGAGGCCCCACCACCGCCCATCACTCTCCTTATAGCTGCCAGTTTTCTTTTATGTAAAGCAGCTCTCATCATCCAAATTAAATTTTTAAATTTGTTTACTTGAGTATTTCCTGTCTCTCCAACTACAATGAAATTCCATGCAAGAAGAGATTTTGTCTTCTTTTTTTGCCATTGCATTGCCAGCGTTTAAAACTGTCCCTGGCACACACTAGACACACAATAAAGGCCTGTTTAATAGTAACACCTTTTTGTGTGAAAATTTGCATTTTTATAAACATTCTTAAAATTGGATTTCAGGTCCATAGAAATAGATTAATCATAATCCTTGGTTAATGGCACACTCATCGTTGATCCCTGCATAGCCCTCTTTTGTTATTTATTTAGCTATTTAATTAGGGCTTTTTTAATCATGTAATAAAAATCTGAAAGAACAGAACCTGAAACAAAAGCGAGGGTCCTTCATCTAACCATAGGGCCCTGATCCCCGTCTCATCCCCCCTCCCTGTCCTCATCTGAGGTAATCATCATTCAGAATCCTAGGTTCTTTGTTTCTTTTTTGTTTTTAATCTTCACTTGAAGATATTTTTTCCCGTTGATTTTTTAGAAAGAGTGGAAGGGAGGGGGAGAGACAGAGAGAGAAAAACATCTCGATTGATTGCCTCCCAAGATGGGGATTGAGCCAGTAACCAAGGTACGTGCCCTTGACTGGAATCAAACCCGGGACCCTTCAGCCTGCAAGGCCGACACTCCAACCACTGAGCCAAACCGGCCAGGGTGGTCTTTTGTTTTTTATTGTCTTAAGTCCATTTCCCTAGAAGCAGAGCCTGAGATGATGGGATTCTCGTTTAGGTGATTTGTGGAAGGAGTGCTCAGAAGAAGGGGAGTTTGGAGAGAAAGACAAACATCACATGATCTCACTTATATGTGGAACCTAAAGAACTTAATAAACTATGAACAGAATAGATTCAGTGACATGGAAGCATAGATGAGACTGACGAATGTCAGAGGGATGGAGGAGGGCGGGTGGGTGGAGGGGGAGAGAGTAACCAAAGAGTTTACATGCATATATGCACAACCCAAGGACATGAACAATGGTGGGGAGAGGGACTGGGGAGGGGGAAGGGACAGGGTGGAACGGGTCATTGGGGAGAAAAAGGGACATCTGTAATATTTTAAACAAGAGTAAAAGTAAAAAAAGAAAGAAGGGGAGTTTGGGAAGCAGGGTGGTGCAGGGAAAAAGCTAGGCAAGGATGTAGAATCAGCTGGAGACTGGATTCAGAGCTCTGGAGCTCACATTGCACTGAAGCGCTGACGCACCTGAAGGTAAAAGGCTAGCTCCTTCTACCCCTGAGTCAGTCAGTCATTGACCGACCTTTGGGGAGGTGACACAGAGAAAGCAGGTGCAGAGCCGCCTGGGTGAGGCAGCCCCGTGTGGCTGAGGGCAGTTCTCCAGAGGTGCATGGAGCCTGGAGCTGCTGGCAGCCCACACTCATAGCAACTAGGGCTCCGTGCGCTTGACCAGGCAAAGGGGTCTTCTGGGCGCTTCTCCTACATCTTGCTTCCCCTTTTTATTTTTATTTTTTTTTATTTTTTTTTGTGCTTCCCCTTTTTAAAAAAATTTTTTTAATATATCTTTACTGATTTCAGAGAGAGGAAGGGAGAGGGGGGGAGAGAGAGAGAAACGTCAATGATGAGAGAGTCATTGATCGGCTGCCTCCTGCATGCCCCCGACTGGGGATCAAGCCCACAACCCGGGCATGTGCCCTGACCAGGAATCGAACCGCGATCGTCTAGATCGCTGAGCCACACCCGGCCAGGTTCGCTTCCCTTTTTATATAGTTTATCAAATTTTGTATGTCTTCCTTAAAAGTATGTATATACATTTTTTAAGTTATTTGGAACTTTCTAGAAAAATTGTACTAAATTTTGACTGTCGTATAGTATTTCAGTATGTGAAAATACCATATGTTATTCACCCATTCTCCCATTGGTGGACTTTTGAGTCATTTTTAGGTTTTTGCATTATGAACAGTGTTGCTAGGAACATTGTCATATGTATCTCCTGTCTATAAGTGCAAGAATTGGGGGGAGGGGGTGTTTTGTCTGGGATAGAATAGCTGGATCATAAGGTATGGACTCTGGAAGATAATGCCAAACTTTTCCAAAGCGCCTTTATTAACTCACATGCTCAGCAATAAAAGTGTGTATAAGAGCTCCATCACCCACACCCCCTCCAACATTTTTTAGTTTTGTAAACTGGAGGAGTATAAAACGGCATCTCATCGCAGTCTTGATTTGAATGTTCTCCCTCACTAATCATCTCTGTGTATACTTTCAGATATTCCTGTTTCCTCTTATGTGACTTGCTTGCTCCTATATTTTGTCCATTTTTCTATTGGATTATTATTTTTTTTATTGACCTATAGGAATTCTTTGTCCTTTGTTGTGTGTATTTTGAATACTGTGAATATCTTCTAGTTTGTAACTTTTCTCACTTTCTTTATGGTGTCTTTTAATAAATTTTATTATAGTTGCAGGTATTCTTTATGTGGCTTTTTACATCTTGTTTAAGAAATCTTTCCCTTAAGGAACCTAAAGGACAGTCTCAGTCGTGGGGTGGGGGGCACGACCATGTTACAGGGAAGTCACAGAGGCAAGCGCTGTCATGCCCGCTGAGACACTGTCTGGTCGCAGGCAGCCCTGACCAGCCAGCACAAGCACCCAGCTAGCAGGCTGACAGGTGTGTTCTGGTTATAGAATTGGATATGTCGTGTATCAGAGCTGGATACCATTAAAAATTCTAATCATAGGCTGTAATTAACTTTCCTCGCTCTGATGCCCCGCTCACTAAACAACCTTCTGATTATAATTTGGCTTCCCATGTATCTGGCCTACAGGGAGAGAATGTACTGTTCAGGCCGACGTGAGGATCCAATTCACTAAATAGTTATATGCCATAATGTAAATTAATAAATTCGTATTCTGGTTTTATCATCTGCCTCATCTGAGCTCTGTAGGCGTGAGTCAGCATCCCCGAGTCTAATCAACACGGACACCGAGGATATCAAGCTCCTGAGCTGAAAAGCTAAGAACTAGACCCAGGACCAGAACGAAATCACCAAGGCAACACTGCCCTGTGGGCCCCTCAGCCTGATGGAGAAGGTCTTCCTACACGTCATGTGACACACACAAGGATTAAAATGAACTTTTGACGTTATAAAGAGCTGCATATTCAAAACCATGGCTTGGTTCCATTCAGGTAAAGGTGAAGAACAGGAGACAATCATAAGACTCATATTGAATATTTATTGGCTTAGGAGCACACACCAGATGCTGCACAAATCCTAGGCAGAAGGATAAGATTTACAGACATATTTGAAAAAAGAAAGAAAACAGGGAGGGGTGGGGGAGGGGGTGCAGATGGAACATGCTAAGGCAGAATGGAGCAAGCGGAGCCTGACGGATGAAGCCTGGCTCCGCCGTGGTACTCGTGGGCCAGGGTGCAAAATAGAAGACCCAAAAAAAACAAAGAAGGAAACACGAGGTACACTGTGTGCCAAGGCAGTGAGATTATCCAGGCCAGAGGAGTGATTTAGGACTTGTAGGGTGAGGGCAAGATCTTTGAAGTAAGTTCAAAGGGGAAGCAGAGGCGAGCCCATAGGACAGATGGGGATAATTTAGCAATCCTGCTATTAGAGCATCACGTTATCCAGGGTTTCTGGGTGAGCAGTACCTATGGTGACACAGATGCCCTTCTGGGGTCCCAGTGACACTGAGTAATAAGCCGAAAAATGCTATCGGGACTGTAGTATCTGGGAATTTGGGGCCCAGTGATGAGAAGTGACCCCTTACTTTGTATTCAGACCAAAAACATACAAACAAAAACAAAAGGGGAGCAAGGATGACCTATACTGATGACCCATACCGATGGCCTTGCAGGATTTGTTTTTCAAAGAAAAATATGTTCAAGGAGTGAGATAAACTAAAGGAAGTTCATTCTGCATCATCTTTGAGGCCAATTACATTGCTTCCCACAGAACCTACCCTGGGGTCACCAGAGCAAGGTCACCAAGCTTGACTAGTTTGGATGAGGTTAGAGAACCATCTCAGATACTTTCTATCCTAAAAATGAGGTAGAGTGATGCCACCAGTAAGGTGTGATCCTAAGTGTGGCCTAAGGAAAGGCATATAAAGAGTTCAGAGAAAGAGCAGGACAAAAATACGGCAAGTGACAGAAACCCTTCTCTCAGGTGTGCCACCACAATGCAGGAGCTTCAGGGAGGGGCTGGCCTGTATCCACTCCAAAGCCAGAGGGCTCTGACACCCATGAGGGAACAAGCTCCCTTTAATATGGCTTCAGCGTGCGTACATACATGGGGATAAGTAAGAGTAGACAGAGAGGGCTCCTCGTCTAGTAGAGGTGGTCCCGCACATGCTCCATGATGGTCTTCAGCCCCAGCCAGGTCTCCTCTGCAGTGGGGATGATCTGGTTGGCCGGCAGGAGGAAGCCATAGTGCCCAGTATCTCTCAACTCAAAAGTGAATGCGTACTTGATGCCGTTATCGTAAGCCCAGTCAACACTGCTCCCGCTGGCTTGATCTGCAGACCAGAAGAGAAAACATCTTTGAAGCCATTTCTTTCAGGGTGAGGTGGGAAGGGGCCAGGAGTTCTGCCTGCCTGTGGTTCCTTAGGGATCCAGAGTTCTTTCTGCAAATCATTAGGCCTATGACACATAAACATTGGCCTGATCCATATGCTTCAGGCTGTCCTGCACCATGAGGGTCTTAACTCATCTCAAATAAAGAGATTTGAAATCCTCATCTCCACTAACTCATTCCGGAGACCCCCGCAGGTCAAGCAAAACCAGTCTTTATGGAGTACGGTAGACAGCCTCCAAGATAACCCCAATGATCCTTGTCCCCTGATCGTCGCGTCCTTGTGTAGCACCCCCCTACGCTGGTTAGGGCTTACCTGACCTGTGTAACTAACAAAAGACTGCAGAAATGAAGGTGTGTCACCTTCAAGGCTAGGCCATAAAAGATACTTTGGCTTTCACCTTGCTCTCTTTTGGATCACTTGCTCTGAGGAAAGCCAGCTGTTGTGTTGTAAGGACACTCAAGCAGCCCAAAAGAGGTTCAGGTGGTGAAGAACTGAGGCCTTCTGCCAATAACCAGCACCCACTCACCAGGCACCTGAGGGAGCCACGGTAGAAGCAGACCCTCCAGCCCAGTTGAGCCTTCAGATGACTATAGCTTTGGAAGATATCTTGACTGCAACCTCATGAGAGACCCTGAGCCAAAACCACCCAGCTACATCACTCTTGCATTCCTGACCCACAGAAACAGTTTAAGAAAATCGGTGTTTATTGTTCTAAGCTGCTAAATTTTAGGATAATTTTTTACATAGCAAGAGGTAACTGATACACAGGGAGAAAGCACAGCTCGTGGAACTTCCCTTTGCCAAAAGGTTGGGGAAAGACAAAAGGGCTATTTTTCTGCTTCTTCTCAAACTCTACTAGAGTAAAAATTGGGTAAGAGTGCAAAGTGTAGGTGTCATTGAATAACAAAATAATGACGTCAATAGTAGCTACCATTTATTGTACATCTACCATGAGCCAGACATTATACTGGAAAGTTTACATATGTGATCTCATTTAACCTTTAAAAACCCAATGAAGCCCTGGCCAGTGTGAATCAGTAGTTGGAACCTCGCTCACACACCAAAGGGTCGCAGGTTCGATTCCCGGTCAGGGCCCTTACAGGGGGCAACTGATCAATGTGTCTCTCTCACATCGATGTTTTTCTCTTTCCCCATCCCTCCCTCCTTCCACTCTCTCTAAAATATCAATGAAAAAATATCCTTGGTCGAGAATTAACAAAACACAACAACAACAACGAGGGGAGGCATTATTGACCTTGTTTCTCAGATGAGGAAATCCAGGCTTAGAATGGGTAATTTACTTAAGGAAATACAGATGGAAAATGACAAGGGTGGAATTTAAACCCAAGCCCATCTAATGATAGAGCCCATGCTTTCTTCAACCTACTTCTAGTCCTTTTGGTATATTACATGTCAGTTAAATAAATATATGGGTCCTTTTGTTTTTCCATTGTTCCTGTGCGTTGTTTCTCATGATACCATTTGTGATTTTTCTAGAGATGCTGGTTCCACTGAGATTACCTGCTGCACTGTGATTACGGAACATGCTCTCCTACACTCTCTGAAATCTTTGTGTGGTTTCCATAGCCTTTCTCCAGCCTGAGAAAATGCTGAGTTAAAAACAGGCAGTGGTACCAGAGGTTTCTAGAGGTTACATACACAGCAAGCTCAAGTATTTCAGAACACATTTTAAATTCAGAAAGGAGGCAAGAAGACCGCCTCTGAGCAAAGAGATCAAGTTTATGAATTCCACTTTATTTGGGTCCCTATTCAAAGTCTATCTACTCTTTTTTAAAAAATACACAAATGGGATCATACTATTTACACTGATCATACTATTTACGCTATTTTTTTTTTTTTACTAACATTTAAAAATTATTGCCTGTTAGCACATATAGGCCCACCTCAATCATTTAAGGGCTGTTTCACTGAACGATGCATCAGATGTGTTTTTATCCAGCATTCTACTGATGGACATTTAGATGCTCAGCAGTCTTTTGTGGATTACCAGTCTTCTGTGACTATAACCAATGCTGTCATGACCATCCTTAATACCCACACCCGCCCAAAGGACTTGTTTCCAAACCCTTAGTAGATCAAAATCAGTAAGAGGAAAGGAAAGCGTTGCTGGAGGCAGTTGCCCGAAAGCAGTACAGCCTGACCAGAGGAAGGAGACATGAAAACTCTAAAAAGCAATCACAGAATTAAAGAAGCAAAACAGGCCAGGGCTGTTTAGCACAGGGATTAACTAATAGGGCACAGTAGGCCTTCAGGATATAACAACTGATACTCAGGAGGTCACTGAGTCATAAAGAAAGGAGCTTAGCCCTGGCCAGCGTGGCTCAGTTGGTTGGAGCATTGTCCTGTACACCAAAAGATGGTGGGTTCAATTCCCGGTTGGGGCACATTCAGGAAGCAGCCAATCGATATTTCTCTTTTTCTCTCCCTCCCTTCCTCTCTCTAAGATCAGTAAAAAATAAAACTAAAATAAAAATATAAAAAGAAAGGAGCTTAAATCTCTTCTACATGCTCTTTTTAAAAAGGCAGGAAAGTGTGAAATCCATTTTAGAATGATTTTCATTGATTTTAGAATAATTTTCATCTAAAATGGTAAACCTAAGAAAAGGTCCTGCTCTTGAAGGGCAAATGTCAACTATTTGTGTAACTCCAACCCATGGAGTTGGAGTGTTAGTATACGAAACTTGATTACATTTTTCGAAAGCAAGGAGGGCAGATAAAGCTTATAAAGAATGCAGAAGATGGGCTCTTGAAAGAGGTAGGAAATAATGTCTCCTGGACAACACTCAGAAGAGCCTTCCTCCTCTTATGTTGGCGGAATCTGATAGTATCTCTTGATTTTGGCACAGCTAAGCTGGGAGAAGAATGCATTTGATGTGAGAGGACAAGGCCATGCTTTAAACTGGTATTTGACCCAAAACCCAGGATCCTGGTGGCCCACAAAGATCTTTTGAACGGTCCTCCTCAGAAGGTTCCTACCAAGTCTGTTTAGCTCCCTTTGGTCCGGGATTTGATTCTGACTAATGAAGCAGAAGATGCAGAAACTCTCCTGATGTGTTGGTTCTCTGAGGAGTTCCCATTTAACAACACTAATAATAATAAACCATGAATAATTAATGAATTGTTGCAATTAGCAACGCAAACACCAACATCATGCTAACTGCCTGTGTAGCATGGCGGCTTATGAAACGCAGGTGAGGGCTGAGATCAGGGATCAGAGATCCGAGGTCCGAGATCAGAGGACCTGAGGTGAGATGAAGAGTCTTCCCAGAAGAGGAAGACTGAAGGGGACAGCTAGTGGAGGGTAAAGCAGGTAGGCCGGGAGACTGAGTTACAGTACAAATACAGTATCAGCAACTCTGCAGGGGCTCTGAGGGGATCAACTGCTGGGAACCACAGAGGAGGCACTAGCGGGGGAAAAGAAGGGCAGCAACTTAAAAGGGGTCAGAGCTGAGCTCCCCACATTTGAATGTACATTTCCCGTTTATAGCTAAGGTCCTGGAGAATGATCATTTTTCTTCAATTTTTTAATTTCCAGGTCAGACTCACAAAATACAGGGACTGGAAGGATCTCAGCAGGAATAGAGTGAATCACTCAGATGAAATTGTTCACTGAAAAACCATAACAAAGGTTATTTCCTCAAAATGACGTTGAGGTTGTAGGTTATGAGCCTCAAGACCAACTTCAGATTTGGGGTCTTGGTAGAGTTTTGGTGTGGGTTTTTCTTCTCTCTCTCTTTTTTTTTTTTTTT